AGTCACGACGAGGACCGTCAAGAGGCTGCCCGAAGAGTGGAGATTCAACTGCACCGCCGTGGCGGCGATCACGCACGTGCCGCGGCAGCGCCGAGGGCAAGGCACTGTCCCGCGTGGGATCGAGCCTATCGTAACGCGCCCTGCCGCTGCGGACGCCGACCAGAGTCGGCCAGAGCCCGAACGCTGCCGCCCAGACCACTGGGGCCGCCCATGGCGGCGGGCCAGCACCCCAGACGGGCGCGCCCATGGCGGGGCCCTCGGCCGAAGCGGCGGGCGGCGCCGAGGCGCCTGCTGGGGGCCGGCAGGCGGGGCCAGCGACGCAGACGTCGGCTGGGGGTGGCGCTGGGGGCGACGACCCCATGACGCCGAGAGCCGCAGCACCGGCGAGTGCACCGCCGCTGACGCCCCGATAGGTCGATCGCCGAAGCGACCCGCGGAGGTGGGTGACAACCGAGGCACTCTTGCGAGGTCCCGAGTTAGCGGAGTAGCGGCAGAGCACTGTGATGGCGTTCATCCTGATTTCCTGCAGATCCTCAGGGACATGGATGTCCCTGATCCCTGATGCGTTGGACTCGCAGTTGCTCGAGGCTTCCACCAAGCGGGCCCTCGATGGCCTGGAGCAGTACGGGGTGGGAAAGCTCGTCAAGCGGAGCGACGCCGCCGGCGAGAGGATCAGCGCCCGCCGGGACTATGTCTACAAGTGGGGCGCGAACCTCGGATGCAGGATCGCTAAGTCAAGGTGCGTCGCGCGAGAGTTCAAGTGGCAGGGGTGCCGCGACGACCTCTTTACGCCGGGTAGCAGCATGGCTGACAGCCGAGTGGTGGACTATGTGGCTCTGAAGCACGGATGGCCCACCTTCACTGTTGACGCGGAGGACGCGTGCTACCATGCCCCCGAGGAGGAGGAGGACGTGTGGGTCGAGTGCCCGCCCGAGATCCTGGAAGAGTGCCGCGCGAAGGGCGACGCTGAGGACTGCGTTTGGCAGCTCGCGGAGCAGTTGCCAGGGCGGCGTCCTGGAGGGAAGCGCTGGGTCGAGTTCGCCGCGGAGCAGCTCATGGCCAGAGGCTTCGAGCGGTCACCGACCGCGCCCCAGTTCTTCGGGCGCGCCGAGCTCCCGCGTCTGGAGGAGCTGCGCATCGACGACATGTACGGCGCAGCGCCTGGAGTCGCAGGGTTCGATTTCGTGCTGCACCTGGGCCGTGACATCAAGGTGAAGTGGTCAGGCCTGCAGGGCGACGGTGCCGACTGCGAGTTTCTCAAGAGGCGGCGCGTGCGAGAGGCTGACGCCGCTTTTTTTCAGCCCAACGAGAAGTACCCCACGAAGGCGCTGGAGGCGCTAGGCCTTGAGGAGGGCAACCCGTGCACCACTCCAGGGGTGGAGGCGCGCAGGACAGGCTGGGATGACACGCCCGAACAGCCCAGACGAGGCTAAGCTGTTCAGGAGCGTGACCATGTGCCTGCTGTTCTACCTTCATGACCGTGAAGATGCTCAGTTCGACATCAACTACCTGACCTCGTGCATCTCGTCGCCCCGTGAGGCGGACATGCGAGCCTTCGAGAGGCTGGCGAGGTACCTGAAGGGCACGAGGGGCCTGGGCGTGGGGATGGCCAGTCCCGCCGAGCCGCGGGACGTCGTCGACGTGGTCGCGCGGACAGGCTCCGACTGGGCAGGCGACGCGAAGGAGCGGAAGAGCCAGACCAGCGTGCACATCACTGCGCGTGGGTGTCCAATGCTCGGGATCAGGTGTCGTCAAGACGTGCAGCCCCGTAGCAGCTGCGAAACCGAGTGGCACGTTGGAGCTCGGGGCCTCAGCGAAGGGCTTGGGCTGAAGGCGCTCTTCGCGTTCATGGGCTACAGCGTGCGCGTGAGCTGGCGGTGCGACAGCTCGAGTGCGAGAGCGCTGGCGAGACGTCAAGGCACTGGGCGGATCAAGGACCTTGCCGCGAAGAGGCTTTGGATGCAGCAGTTGGTGGCCAAGAAGATCATCATCATCGAGCCCGTAGTTGGTGGCGACAACCTGGCGGATCTCGGCGCAACGGTGTTGCCGAGGGCACGCCTCGAGCGGCTCCGCGAGAGCTGCAGACTGAAGGAGGTGCCCGTGCCAGGGACCTGGAGGGTAGCTGCAGTCGGGGCCATGCCGACCGACTCCCAGGCCCAGTCAACCCTGCTGAAGGTGCTGATTGCAGTGGCTGCATCGCTCCCTACGGCGGTGCAGGGAAGCTCGACCGAGCTGTGCGAGGCGCCGCAGGAGGTCGACGGGAGCGCAGTGACTTCGGTGGCCATGCCAGGAGTCACTTCTGAGGGCTACTACGTGAGCCTGGCTGTGCTGATGGCCGGCGTGGGCCTAGGGTTCCTGCTCGCATTGCTAGGGTTTTCCTTGGTTTGCTGGTTTTGTCCGTGTGCGAGGCCGAGTTGGTGCCGCACGGGGGCCCTGCCGCGCGGCGGCGGCGGCGGGGGGCCACGGCGTGCTCCGATCGAGGGATCGAGCGAGCCAGCAGTAAAGCTCGGGACTAGGGGGGGCAACCCAGAAGGGCGGTTGCCACCCAGAGCCAGGTCAAGTACACCTGGTGGACGACCAGCCCCAGTTTCCAGCCATTGGGACCGAGAGAACAGGGGGCGTGGTCCGAGTAGGGCCTTGAGCCGAGTGCTGTTTAGATGCGCCATGGGCGCGAGTCTAGATCTCCGCGACTACGCGTCGAGGCGCTGCGGTTTTTAAGTTTCACTTTCTAGGACTCTGGAGGGAGTGGTGACCCGAGGGGTGTCCGAGGTGGAGCGGGCCCACCGCCCGCCCCGCGCTCGGCCAGGCGGCGTGCTCGCGATCTTGAGTGATTCGGACGCCGTCAATTCGTAGCATGCCCGCAGGCCCTTTTGTTCGAGCTGCGTTGGAAGAAAAAGAGCCCCAATATACGTTTCCCCACGCGTCCGCGTAACTTCCGCCAGATTTCGCGCTTCTGTGGTTTTTGGCGTCGTTTTGGTTTTCGGTGCCCGTTTGGTTTTCAGAGCCCCTTTGGTTTTCGGTGCCGTTCGTGGTTTTCGGCGCCCCTTCGGTTTCCGGTGTCCTTTTCAAGTTCGATGACCCGTTGGTTTTTTTGCGCCCTTTTGGGTTTCGGTGTTCCTTTGGTGGTTTTCGGCGCCCTTTGGTTTTCGGCGCTGCTCTGGTTCTCGGCGCTCCTTTTGATATTCGGCGCCTCTTTGGTTTTCGGCGCCCCGCTGGTTTTCGGAGCCTTCTGTGGTTTTCGGCGCCTATTTGTTTTCCAGCGTTCGTAATGTATTCGGCGCCTTTTGGTTTTTGGCGTCCTTTTGCTTTTCGGTGCTCTTTTGGTTTTCGGTGCTCCTTTGGTTTTCGGCGCCCCTTCGGTTTCCGGTGTCCTTTTCAAGTTCGGCGACCCGTTGGTTTTCGGCGCTTTTTTGTTTTTCGGCGCTCCTTTGGTTTCCGGCTCTCTTCTGGTTGTCGGCGCCCTTTTGGTTCTCGGCGCCCTTTTGGTTTTCGGCGACCTTTCGGTTTTGGCTTTCGGTTTTCAGCGCGCTTCTGGTTTTCGCACGCTTTCGGTTTTCGGTGGCTCTTTGGTTGTCGGCGCTATGTTGGTTTTCGGCGCCCTTTCGGTCTTCGGCGCTCCTTCCTTTAGCAAAAACGGGGTGGGGGCTCCAGAAGCTACCCCGCGCGAAAGGGGGGCGGGGGGGGGTAGCTTCTGGAGCGCGACTGGGGGGCAGGGTGGGGGGTACAGAGGTTCAAAGGGGGGGATGGCTAAGCCCCGCCCCCCCTTCGGACAGGGAGGGGGGGGCAGCTTTCGGAGCGCGAGAGGGAAAGGGGGGGGGGGGCAGCTTCCGAGGGGCGGGAAAACAGGAGGTGTGGGGGGGTTTCCGGCAGGGGAGGTCAAGGGGGGGGGGGGGGTAGCTGCGGTGGGACCCCCCTCCTCTGGGAGTTTTTGCTGCGGGCGCGCTCTTTCGGAGGCCAGGACAAACATACCGTGCCGTCTTTAATGCATACTCCGCGTGCGGAGCATGTATTAACAATGCAGGGATTTGGTATTAAAATCAACGATGAGTTCGTGCATGCATGTCTTCATAATTTTACAATGTATTAAACATTCGTTTTTTTTGTTGTTGTTGTAAGAAAAAGCATCCCATGTATAATCAAACTGCCCTGTACAATGAGATGGCCATGCGGGAAACGAGGGTCTTGTTATTGTGGAGGAAGAGATGAGCAACAGCGGTTCTGATCATGACGACGAGCGCATGACGATGACGGTTTTGGTGGTGCTGATTCGGGTAGTGGTGTTGATGGGGATGTTGATGATTGTGGTGGCGACGATAACAGACGAGGATAACAATTGGCGATTGATCAAGGGGTGATGGCTGGTATGACGGTAGCAACGATGGTGTCTAGATGGAGGATGCTGCAGGATGAAGAGTAGCAACAGCATCGGCAGGAGGAGGCAACTATCGATGAAGACGACTTCATAAGAGGACGGGCGCGCAAAGGCGGCGGACGAGGATTTGCAGGAGGGAAGGTGAGGAAGCAGAGAAGAGGCAGAGAAGAAGGGTGCAGGAGTCAGGCGATCGCAAACATGGATCAAGGGGGCGTGGATTAGCGATGGGTCCCGTTTCCATGGGAAAGCGCGGATTTCCGCCGCCGAGCGAGGCGGCACCGGCCGCATCTTGGGGAGGACACCTCCCCCGATCCATGGATTTGGCGACCGCGCGCCAGATCCATGGATCGCCAATCCATGTCTTTGCGCGCCCCCGAAGGAGAGTAGACGGCAGAGGAGGAAAAGGCAGAGGCGGCAGAGAGGTGGCCGGGGCATGAACAGGAACTGCTGTTGGGCATTGTACCCATTCCTTCCGTACCCATTTCGGGCGTCCAGATCCGAGGGACCGCGGCTCCTCCGCGGCAGCTTCGCCCAGCGTGAAAAGGAGGAGGAGGAGGAGGAGGAGGAGGAGGAGGAGGAGGAGGAGGAGGAGGAGGAGGAGGAGGAGGCCGGAGCGGGGCCCTCCGAGGCCGCCGCCTCCCCGCCGCCCTCGCCGACCCCGCGCCCGTTCCAGGAGACCCCCCGCTCCCCCGCCGCCTCGGGCGCCGCTGGGCCCCGCCTTCCGCGGGGCCCCGCCGGCGCGCCCCGTCGGCCTCATCGGCTGGCCGTCGCCACTTGTCATGGGCCTGTTTTCCACCACCACCACCATAAGTTGGAGTGGGAGGGGGTCCCTCCTCCTCCTCCTCCTCCCCCTCCTCCTCCTCCTCCTCCTCCTCTCTCCTCCTCCTCCTCCTCCTCCTCCTCCTCCTCCTTCCCCCCATCCAACTCATGGTGGTGGTGGTGGTGGAAAACAGGCCCATCAGGTCCCGTCGAAGAAGAGACACGGCGTGTACCGAAGTTTTCGGAGGTCCGCCTCGGATGTTTGGGATCGGCGCCGACTCCCCCCCAGTGGCTCTTCCAGCTCCGCGCGCCAGGGGAGGGGCCGCCAGCGCAGGTACAAGAGATCCGCGAGGACCTCCGAGAGTTTTTTTTTTTTTTTTTTTTTTTTTTTTTTTTTTTTTTTTTTTTTTTTTTTTTTTTTTTTTTTTTTTTTTTGTTTTTTTGTTGTTTTTTTTTTTTTGTTGTTTTTTTTTTTGTTTTTGATAGTATATATATAAATCTCAGGCCTCCGACGTTTTTTTAGGTGTCGGCCTCCAGGGCCCGTCGTCGGGCTCCAGGGCATGGGCCCAGGGCCAAGAGGCCTACTCCCAGGGAGAGTGTCTGGACCTCCGAGGCCGCGTGCTGAACAGGATGTCATCGTCGGATGTCTGGGTTCATCCCAGGAGGAAAAGAAACGCACAGACACAATGAATCGTCGATTCCCAAGAAAATCTAGGGAAAGATGGGAATTGGGCGGGAAGACAAACACCCAGAAAATATGGGAAAATATGAGGCATCTTTTTATTAGTGTGTATTTATTAATCGCTTCGCTCATGCCGCCGGCCCTGGAGCCCTCTTTAGGGCCTCTTGGGGGCCTCTTGGGGACCTCTTGGGAGTCTCTTGGGGCTCCTTGGCGGCGTTTTGGAGGCCCCCAGGGCCTCTTGGGGGGCTCTTGGGGGTAGTCGATTGCGGCTCCCCCCTCGGAGGCCACGATCCTCGTGAGGGGTGTCGAAAAATACCCTCCCCTGGAGTGGTCTGGTGGCTTCTCCCGGGCTTCTCTCGGGACCTTGCACCTTTTTATTAGTGTGTATTTATTTGTGTGTCCTTGGGCCCCTTCATCCTCGGCTCGGCGCGGGGCTCTGGGCCCGCCCAGGTGGGGCCAGCCGGCCGCATCGCCAGTGCATCGGCGGTGCGGGTCGATTCGGAGCCCGATGTTCTCCATCCCGACGTCGCCGAGGCGTCTCCCGGGCATCGCCCAGGCATCATGGCTTGGGCGTTGCGTAATGGGGGGGTCATAAATGGGGGGTTGGTGAGGGTGGTCCGAAAAGGTACCCAAACGGTACCTAAACGAGCCCCCTGGGGGTCCAGAGGGGCCCGAAAGGGGCACGAAAGGGGACCGTTTCTGACCCCCCTATTTATGACCCCCCCGTGAAGCCACGCCCAAATGGCTGCGACCCTCCTTCCTCATCTGATTGGGCGGCCTTGATGTCTGGGTGGGGTTGGAGCATCGCGACGCATGGCCGACGCTCGGGTCGGACGTGCGGGGGCGGGGCAGGGAGAAATGAGGGGGAGGGGTAGTGCAGATGCTGCCGCGCGCAGCTGTTTTTGTCCACGCCGCCCGGTCGCTGTCCTCGGCACGTGTCCGCCCGTGCCGCCGGAAGAGCTGACTGCAGGCAGCGGATTGGGTAACCACCCTCTGCAATTCCCCTCTTTCGTCCGCCCCGAGACGCATCGGCGGCGCGACGTCATCTCCATCCTGGCCAGGCGCTGCCAGCGCACCACCGACGCAGCGGCGATGCATCGGCGACGCGGTGCGATCCACCGACCCCAGCTGCTCCGGACCCACTGGGGCGGCTTCCACTTGCGGGGGCGTCCAAGACGGGTGAGGGGCGTGAGGACCAGGGTGGCTTGGGCATCACGGCCAGGGCCATGACGAATCTCCCGGATCTCTCTCGGCCGTCTCTTTCTCTTTCTCTATCTCTTTCGACACGTTTCCCAGCGCCCCCTCGTCCGCGCACGCGTCTCTAAAGGTCGAAAGGGGGGGTGGTATAATGGGCGTTGGTGCCAATGCTGGAAATTGCAATGTTATCTACCATAGCCGCAAGTGTGCTGCATCCAGATTTCAACAACGTTGGCTTTGCGGCTGACCGCCTCAAACAACGTCAGAATTGCTGATTCCCATTTCCCGAAACGTCTGCAGTCCTGTGTGATCGGCAGCACAAAAGTAGTCTGTTTCCGGTCCCCCGAGCACCAAGCACGCAAGTTCGGAAAGTCCGAATCGCGAACGGCGTGATGCTGGAGTTGCTGTAGTGCAACAACGTAATTCAAGAGTTTACAGGTAGCATCATTCCAATCCAAACCATAATTCTGGACGTTCCGAAACGACGTTCTGGAAATTCCGGAATCACAGACATGACTTCTGCAAAATCTTGGGATCTCCAGACCTGGTGGGTCCCCCGCGCGCGACGCTCGGTGCCGCAGTCCGGACTCGCCCCTGGCCCTGCCCGTGTGCGCGGGGCCGCTTTCCTTTTTTTTGTTTGTTCTCTCTGGGCGCGCATGTCTCGCGGTGAGGGAGGGGTCCTGCGGGAACCTCGCACTGGAGGTTTTTTGGGGGTTTTTGGGCGCCTGTGGCCCTCCTCAGGCCCCAGAGCCGTCAAAACGGCCCAGGATGAAGAACGGGTCCCAGGGGAGTGCCCAAGGGCCCAGGACCCTAGGACCCGTTTCCCTTTTGGCCCGCTTCTTTCATGGCAAACGTCTGCGCCCAGCGCGTACGAGTATTGGTTGTGACAAGTTGTATGAGCGTCGTCGTCCTCCTCCTTCTGCTTCTGCTTCTCCTACGTCCGTTTGTCTTTCTGATTGTCTTTTGGAAGGCGTTCAGGGTGCTCCAGTGGTTTGAGTGTTCACTAATTCAGCACCCGCAGCGAGCCATCGTCTGCGCCCAGCGCGCGTGATTGTTGGTTGTGGTTACAGTCGACGGTCGACAATTTCCAGTGTGTCGCATGTAGTGTTCATCGGCTCAGGACCTGACCAGGTGTTTCGCTATTGTGAGATGCTTTGTTTGGCACCAGAGCTGAGGCTCTGGTCGCTGAGCAGAAGCATACTTGCTCTCCAATGTTGAGCGTCCTGGAAGTCTGAATGATTTTAGTATGCGTCATGTCTGTCATGCAGATTTCATCCTTGGTTGAAAGCTTCAGTGCCGAATCACTGAGGGCAGGCGTCGTCAACGACCATCGCTTGAGCGAGAGCGTGATGAGACTGTGTGTGGAATCTCTCTGAGATCCAGAAGTGATGTGCACATGCAGTAGGGTAAAAACTGATTCTTCGTGTTGCAGCGTGGAGCACGCGGTTGTGGCAGTGTGTGTGTGTGGGTGTCGTTAAAATCAGTGATGTGCAGCAGTAAAGCCGTGCGTCCGTGTTCGGGTGTTGTTTTGTGTGATCCAGTGACCCAGTTGCCCACGATTCAGCCCTGCGTCGATGTGCAGTGAGCTCGTCGTCCATTTCCATCATGCCGCATGTAGGTAGTGTTCGGCGGGTCGGCACCAGACCTGAACATACTTGTCGCTATGATGAGAAACGTTGTTGGCACCAGAGCTGAGGCTCCGGTCGCTGAGCAGAACCGTACTTGCTCTCCAATGTTGAGCGACCTGCACGTCTGAAGGATGATAGCCTCCGTCATGTCTGGCACGCAGATTTCATCCTTGGTTTAATGTTTCAGTGCTGAATCATTGAGGGCGGACGGTCGTTGACGAACCAGCGCTTAAGCGAGGGCGTGATGAGACTGTGTGTGGAATCTCTCTGAGATCCAGAAGTGATGTGTACATGCAGTAGGGTAAAAGCTGATCCTTCGTGATGCGGCGTGGGGCATGCGGCTGTGGCAGTGTGTGAGTGTGTGTGTGTGTGTGTGTGTGTGTGTGTGTGTGTGTGGGGTGTCGTTAAAATCAGTGATGTGCAGTGCCTCAGGCCATTGCTGACCAACTCGACGCCAGAGTGTGGGGCCACCTTAGTCCGTGTGCGCGAGGTTTCTCTCTCCGCACACTTTCGGCGGTGGCCGACATCTGCTGCCAGTTGTTAGTTCGGGCGCGCAAGTCTGCGCCCAGTGCGTGTGAGTGTGGGGTGTAACAAGGTGGGCGGTCGTTGTCGGCCTCCTCCTTCGCCTCAGGTCTTCTTCCTCCCTGTCATGTCCCGTCTTTCATGCTCACAACGCTGGTTCCATCGTTGCTTGAATGCTCCACTGCTGAATCCTCGGGGGCAGACGATCGTTGACGAACGCTTGAGCGAGGGCGTGAGACTGTGTGTGGCATCTCTCTGAGATCCAGAAATGACGTGCTCATTCAGTGGGGTAAAAGCTGATCCGTCGTGATGCAGCGTGGAGCATGCGGCTGTGACAGTGTGTGGGGGGGTGTCGTTAAAATCAGTGCTGTGCCGTGCCCCGGGCCATTGCTGACCAACTCGACGCCAGAGTGTGGGGCCACCTTAGTCCGTGTGCGCGAGGTTTCTCTCTCCGCACACTTTCGGCGGTGGCCCACATCTGCTGCCAGTTGTTAGTTCGGGCGCGCAAGTCTGCGCCCAGCGCGTGTGAGTGTGGGGTGTAACAAGGTGGGCGGTCGTTGTCGGCCTCCTCCTTCTCCTCAGGTCTTCTTCCTCTCTGTCATGTCCCGCCTTTCCGTTTGCCTGCGCGTCCGTGTTCGGGTGTTGTTTTGTGTGATCCAGTGACCCAGTTGCCCACGATTCAGCATTGCGTCGATGTGCAGTGAGCTCGTCGTCCATTTCCATCATGCCGCATGTAAGTAGTGTTCGGCGGGTCGGCACCAGACCTGAACATACTTGTCGCTATGATGAGAAACGTTGTTGGCACCAGAGCTGAGGCTCCGGTCGCTGAGCAGAACCGTACTTGCTCTCCAATGTTGAGCGACCTGCACATCTGAAGGATGATAG